TCAGTGATCAGTTATTGAAAATAAATTATTATCTTTTTTAAATTATTATTATATCTTCTGAATTCACTTCTTTCACTTCTTTTAATTCTATTAAAGATTCATAAACTCTTTAAGAAATCACTGTGAATTATAAAGTCTATATTATTTACAATTCAATACAGAATACTCTCTTTTAATTATAATAAATAATTACTTCATTCTTCACATCTGATTTCAGATCATGAAATTTATGAAAAACTTAATATAAATACTGAGATATACTATAAAATAATTATTAATAGATTATATTATAAATTACTGAAGAGTTATTTCTCTGCTATAATTACTACAACTTCATTCAGAAATATTTATCATAAACTGATTATAACTCTGAAGAAATTTCTCAATATCTGAAGTCATCAGAATACAGATAATAAAAGAAAAATAATCAGAAAATTACTACTGAGCTGATAAGTTATTCTATCAGATAATAATTTTTAATAACACTAACTTTCTAATTTAAAGAAAATCATGTGAAAATAATTATATATTAGTATTCTGATTTCACAACTCTCATCTGATAACTTCTGTAAATAATTACTTTATATATATATATCTCTGAATCTTTCTCTTTAATTAATTAAAAACTCTGAATTCTGAATACTTCTTTAAATGCTTAATTTAAATCTTTATATTTCACATTAATTTTATCTTCAGTTCAATCTTAAGATACACTACAAAGTTAATATATAATATCTAGAATCAGAGTTGAAGAATCATTGAAGAGTGTCTCTCACAGTGAATGTATGAACTAGTATAAATAATCTTACATTTATAAGAGTTATATATTATTACATTGATGAGAACTGAACTTATTAAGAGATATTAATTGAATTTGAATCATTAATCAGTAGTTATACTGAGAATTATATAACAGAGATATTAATGATTATAATTAAAAATAACTATTAAAATATTAGTCTCAGTCTTCTTATAATTACAACTGATAATACTGTGAATAACTACACTATAATAAAGAGCTTGAAGCAAAAATTGACTTTGTATTTCTAAAATGATAAATAAGATTATATTCTCTGCATTACTTATATAGTTCAACTTGTAATATAAACACTGATAAAGAATCTTAATATTAAGATGAAGAATAATGAGATAACTAATTCTTGAAATAAGAATAAAATGAAAGTGATTACTTAAGTAACTTTTACATTCACTTTGTAAAAGATAATGTTTTTTTTAATAACACTTTTTAATAACATTACTGTTAATTTTGAATAGATTGACTAATAATTTAAATATCACAGATTTAAAATATTACTAATATGATTTGTATCTTCTCTAAATAATAATAACAATTTTATAATATTTAATAAATAAATAAATCAGTTACATCACTGAATATGATACAGAATATTAGAATATAGTGAAGTTTAATATATAAAATAACTATTCAGACTCTTTAATTATATCAGATAATTGATTATTAAGTATAACACTCTGATCAGAAAAAGATTCAGATATTAAAACTTTCTAATATAAAGTGAACTCAGTTGAAATATATGATTGATTTACTGTTTCAGTTTTATAAGATAATAAAGACAGTCTCAATTACTTATACATTAATACTGCAGTCAGTCTGATAAGTGTATAACAGTTTATTTACTTATCTTAAAAAGCAGTTGAATCACTTAAAAAGAAATTCAGTCTGAAATAATACTATAGTGTAGACTATTATTACTGTAAGAGATAAACTGATATATTACTACAGTAAAACTGAATAATCTTTTACAGAGTACTATACTATAACATCTTTACTAGATTTCTCTCATTGAGTTAATATCTATACTTCTCAAGATTGAATAGAGAAGAAATAAGACTTATATATTAAATTAATCTGAGACTACTATAATACTAACTATCAGAGATTTGAATAAGTAAATATTCAAGATATAAAGACAGTGAAATACAATTTTCTAGTAAGTAATAATCTTTGATAATACTTTATATTACATAGAACTATAATACTAACTTTGAAATAGAACTTATATATATTAATTACAACTGAAAATCAGATAAAACTATATACTTATAAAACTGAATTTAACTGTTATTTTCAAGATAATTCAATGAATTTACACATTAAATCAATTCTAGAGTTATAAAAAATTATTAAGAGTATATATTTAACTATTATACTGATAATATATAATATTCTGATAATTTCATTGATAGAGATGAGAATGAAGTAAAAGTTTAACTCAAGTCAAGATATTTATCACTATTATCAGAGACAATTATAAGAAGAAATAATTAAGAAACTCATGATTATAAAATATGAAATTATTAGATAGTTTAATATCTCTGATCATAGTATATCAGAGAAGTGTAGTTTTTATAAGAAAGTGAAGAATAAACTTATACAAGAATATATTTAGTTGTTTTATAAGTATTATTAATAATTATTATCAAATTCTGATTATATAAATAATCACTAAATGAACTGAATAAGACTGATTTTAATCTTCAGTCTCAGTCTCATTCTGATTTTGAAAGAATAATCATCTTTCACAGTTTATTCTGAGAAATTACTCTTATTTCACTGTTCTTGAATTAAATCTGATTATTTTTCATATCATTTCTCTCAGAAATGATTCATTTTCAGATTTTTTTGAGGCTTGGTCCTGATGGGACTCACGCCAAGAAATGTATGAGACCAGACCAAATGGGATCAAATGTGAAATTCATGGTCCCGCCGGCCAGTCTAGGCAGGTGAAGGAATAGAATACTATCTGGCTCCGCGGGGTGGCAGATTGGCACACAGATTGGCACACAGAGTACACATTAAAAAGAGGCAGATTGACAGGCAGATTGGCATGCAGATTACATGTTAAAAAGAGTGGCAGATTGGCAGGCAGATTGACAGGCAGATTACATGTTAAAAAGAGTGGCAGATTCCATGTTGAATGGCAGTGAAGACAAGGAATAATCAAGAGCTGAATATTCAGTATAAAATACAGTGTCAATTTCCGCCAAGATTTGTGGTGCTGTCTAGCTGTCTTTTTGCCGGCGCAATTCTTTTGATAGCGCCCTCCGTATATAGACCTCTGTCTCTCTATTTATCCATGCAAAAACGCTGTAATGTGACATCACGTGCACCCCATCAAAACCTTATATTTGAATGCTCTGGCTCATACAGCTCAGATCAATCTTCAAATCTTCATTCTTTTTTTCATTCTGCTCTTTTCATACATTCTCTACAGTATTTAAATTCCTTATACTCTTCTCTATGTTCATTTTTGATCTCTGTGTTCATGGCATGCGCTGCTAAATGCCCTGTAACATGATCTCATGTGATGTGATGTGCACTCCTTTGAATTTGGATGAGATTGAACAGCTGGCTCTGCAGCCTGTACGGCTCTGATTAATCTGATAATGGTGATAGAGGTGATACGGGGTGAAAGAGAGTGGTAGGGGGAGAGGGTGATAGAGGCAGTAGAGAGGGTAGAGGGTGGAAGGGGTGGAAGGGGTGGAAGAGGTGGAAGGGGTGAATGGGGTGGAAGGGGTGGAAGGGGTGGTAGGGGTGGTAGGGGTGGTAGGGGTGATACGGGGTGGAAGAGGGTTGTAGGGGGAGAGAGTGGTAGGGGCGGTAGAGGTGGTGGAAGTGGTAGAGGGGCTTGTTAATAATTAATATCCTCTCACTACTTGAATAGGTGTAGATTTTGATCGGGGTTGCCAACACTTCTGTGGAGCGATTTATTTTCAGACGGAATCCCCGTTCCGATTCCGATGCAGGTTAATCCGATTTGGGGTGGTTTTCCGTGACCAAACATGTCCCCTGAAGCAACAGGTTGTGCCCCCCGGAGGAATGATGTGGGGAGTGAGGGTGGGGGTCATCATTATAATTAATATCTGCGTGCATATACTCCGTACATCCTGTCAAACGGATGCATTGTATATCATCCCCGCCTGCCGATCTTCCGCCGTGCATGCCACGTCCGTGGGTTCAATCGAGTGTACGCTGTAGTTTCTGCAAGGCAGTGGAAAGAAATAAAAACGTACAGAGTATTCCTATGTACCCTGTAAAACCCAAAAAAATAAAATAACAAAAATAAAATTACAAGAGAGATGGATAATCCCTGATATGCATTCATTCCCTGTTCCCTGCATTCTGCATTCTGCATCCTGCATCCCGCATCCCGCATCTCACAGGAGATGAAATTGATCAAAGGCAAGCAGGAGAGAAGAGAGTTGCTCAAGCTGAAACAAGATATATCTACATTCAAATGAAAGAATGAAAGAATGCTTTTGCTTTTTCTTCATTGCATTAAAAGAACAAATCATAGTAAGTAATATATTTAATCACAGACTCATATTTTGACTGACATCATATTATTGACTTTTGTGAAGAATAGATTGAATCAAGTGTTTTCACCCTGCTATGATTGATCACTTTGAACTTCTCTTCAAGCCTATTCATAAATGAGATAGTCACTTCATCTGAACAAATTGAATGACATATATATCTATATTTCGCCTCCTCCATTTCGCCTCCTCCATTTCCCACCTCACATCCATGGATTTCCCCCGTGTCTGTCAAAAGGTGGAGCGAGTGGAGAAAATCTGGGTAGTTTTTAGCTTTATTAGATGCAAACCAAACAGCTTGACTGCGCTTGGGTTCGTCCTCTAGGCAATTAGTTATCCCGGAATCTTGAGAACAGAATCCCCAAAAGCGCCCAGCAAATCTACAGAAGGGATCTCTGCACGTGATCCAGGCATTAATTGGCGGGAGTTTTAAAGCGTGGGATTTTGAATATTATTGATGGTGGGAGAGCGGGTTATTTCCTCAACAAGACACAGTGCAGGGTAGTACAAGTACATACATACAGTGGCACTGGAATAATAAGAAATATTGGGGCATGCAGAGGAGAAGCAGGGGAGGAGAGAAGTGGGGTGTTTTTTTAAGGTTTTAAACATTTATTTTCCTTTCTTCATTATTTTTAATTCTATATATAGTTATATTTTCCTCCCCTCATTCTTATTGATACATACCTTGCTCTGATCCAACGACCTCTTTGATACAACTCTAATAAGCGACGAACATCAAACATCAAGAAAGATGCCGGCCGGGATCCGCGGAGAGAATCCTCGGTGTACTCTGCCTTTTGTATCTCGCGATCCGGGGATTCTGAGTCACATCCTCTACGGATTACGGTGTAGATTTCACAGGAAGTCGGCGGAACGAAGAGTGAGGCTGTGGGCGTATTGTTTAAGCGAAGAACAGACAGAATAAACACCCAAGACACCGTAGCTATCAGCCATTCGATCGGGGAATTGGCAGGAAAGCAAGACCTTTTCTGCGTTGTTGGACCGCCAGAAAACACCGCCGCCGCCGTCGCCGCCGCATGCGGGATTTGTGTTTTAGTTATGTACGCTTATGCTTATGTACAGTGTTGTCATCCTGCATCGCCATGTTTTCCCCCTATTTCAGGGTCCTCAGATAATTTTTCACTCCCCCCACTCCCCTCCCCTTCCCTCGCCTCCAACAACCCTTCGAGACATGCATGCATGCATCAAGGGGCTGGCTGGCTACCTAGGTAATTTTGAGAATTTAGTAAGTAAGTAACTAACTAGGTAGTAAACAGCGAAGCCTGAGCGACAGCCCACTCAAAACGCCAGAATTGAGTGAGTCTCAGGCCCGAATGGCCACCCGACGCACAGAGAGGGCCCGCATTGCGGCCAGGGCCAGCTTGCCAGGGCGATGCTTTCTCACCCAGAGCAAAACACAGCGCTGGATTCTTCTGTCTGGATGTTTTGCTGCGCGCTGCACGAGGCCTGAGAACGAGCGTGATGGCTCTGTAGGCTAGATGACCGGAGGGGGAGGAGAAGGGGGGGGGGGGGGGGGGGGTGGAGTGGAACTTCACCTCGGCGCCCTTTCGACGACAACTGATCATAAATTTATTTATTATTATTCATTTGAGATTGGAGCAAATCTCGAGCGAAGTTTATTTAAAAAGAAACCAAAAAAGTACTTTTTGGTAAACATCTAATTAATAATAAGTAACCGACCCCAATCCATGACGCTTCGATTTTATTTACATTCTGAACCATGGTTGCGAGATTGGGGTTAAGTGATTTATAAAAACAAATGCCTGAGAATAATAATTCAAAATGATAAATATCAACAAGAGATAGGTGAATTTTATGAAACACAAGATGCTACGACAGTCAGGCATCCAGATTCGCAACGGGCAACTCGCCGTTGTCTGACTCGATTCTGCTGTCGTCGTCTTCTGGTTGCTCATCCGGCGTCTCCACTCTCGGCCGCGCCTCTGCCTGCGACTGGCTGCGGATGCTCGTCATTTTTGTCCTCCCCAGGATATCCAATTCTTGCTTGCCCCAAAGAGCCGGCCAGAGACGAGAGAGTCTTGGATTTGTTTTGGTGGGTTTATTGTTTATTTAACTGGTTTTTTTTTTTTAAACTGTCGTGTTTTATCGCTGCCTTGTCGCCCACGCGCTTCTGACAGCTTTCTCGTTCTCTAACCAACTTTTTATCATTAACTAACCTGTTAACCTGTTGTTAACCTGTTATTCTTATAACCGCCTCCTCCCCCTTGGACTTATTAATGTTGTTCAAACCCTCCACCAAATCTCATCAGCAGCAAAATAATTTTCTCAAATAGAGTCCCGCCGACGCCCTATTTACTTCTTGTACCCACCCACAGCCCCATTGAAACGCTGAAACATTGAAACATTGACACATTGAAACAAAGTCATCTCCTTTCGTTTCCTCGCTTGCTTATGCTGTAGATTTTGCAGCCCGACACCTGCACGAAATCAGAATCAGAAAATCCCTGCATGCATTACGGCCGCACATCTGGCTCCACTGGTCAGCGAGAGAAGAGGCGGCTTGCTTGTCAGGCCGGGAAGAAGAACAAGTAAAACACACACACACACAGAGAGAGAGAGAGAGGGAGAGACACACAAAATTCAGCAGTCAGGGATCAAGGCCGTTGTTGACTGTTGTTTTTTTAGTCTTTTAGTCTTTTATTAGTTTTTTAGGCTTTTTCTTTTTTCCTGCCAGCCGCCTTTTCCACCCCTTGTCGATGCTTGGCCCGCCCTGTTTTGCTCGATCTTGACCAGAAAACCGCCCTGGGCATTGCTCGCCTGAACACCGCCATTGCCGAATCCCCTGGGTACAAGTAGTGTCCAGTGCCGACGCTTTTTCTCCCTGCTTGGTTTACAGTGCTATATTACTACTCCTCTCCAAGGTCCTCCTTGCTAACGACAACACTTCTTCTCTCTCTCCTTTTCAAATCTCGCTCTATCTGACTCTCTATCACTCCTCCGTCGCCTCTCACATACTCTTCAGATATCTCTCCAAGCAACATCCCGACGTCTCTCTGGACCAATCACCATCCCCCCGATCGACCATGAGCTCAACTTCAGCACCAATGCAAGAGTCATCCTCCAATACCTCGGGCGCAGGACTGACTCCCCGCACCTCCTCTGATTCTACAACCCCTGCTGCGTTCACCTTCGACATTGTTCGCTGCTCAAGATGCCAGCGATCTCTTTGCCTCGAACATTCCTCCTCCTGCGGCGTTGTTCGATTCGGTATCAACTCTTACTACTGCGGCCGCTGCGCGTCGATGGTTGGTTTCAATAATCGCTGAGAGGAGCCCTGCAACAGGGAAACCAACCACTTGACAGGGCCATATCAAAAAAGAAACAACAACATCAACCATACGTTTTCTACGCGCAACAAAATAGCAGCATGAAAAATATAACAACCTCCAAAAAATCTCAAACCAACACGACAGAAAATTCTTACCTCGAACCAAATCCAGTAGCTTTTTCATTTCAAAGGAGACAAAATCTACCTTGTCGCCCCGCCGATGGACGATAGGGAACAATGGAAGAAAAGGCCAACCAAATATCAAAAAAGGAATATTTTGGACGAGATTGAAATCTGCGAATCCTCAACCTGCAGATCAGGACAAACTCACTGATACCGGCCAATCGAAACACGAGAATGCCATCGTTATCACCCCAAGGCAAAATGACAAGAAGTATGCCTGACCAATTGTATACTAATCAATGTGAAATGTAAGGGAGGGGGTTGGATTTGACAACCCAACTGCCTAGGGTCAAAAACAAATAAAAAAACAAAAAGCAAAAAGAGAAACGGCCGTTGGAGACCGAACCAACTACCCCTCACGCGACAGCAACGTTTTTCGCATGTCGCCCTCGCCTTTTTTTCGAGCTTCACCCTCCGCCAATCTCCGCGCGAACCATCCCCGACGGGGCCCAGCCATCCTCGCAACTGGTAATGCCATTTGAATTTCAAAATTTATCACTCACCGCCTATTACATATATCCCTATGATGATATACTTCTTCCCTTCTTCGTCGCTGGCGGTGAAAAAGAAAAAAAAAAATCAAATATCTATAAAACTCCCCAGCCTATCACAGACTCCGGAGATTGGGGGAATGGCGGGGTTTTGCGTGTTGTGTTTGTTCTGTCGGCGACTATTCCGAAACTCCAGGGCCGGTCGTGACGGAAATAAGCTACGGCGAAACACAACGTCACGGGATCCTGCAACCAAGCATTCGGTTACTGTATTCGGAAACAAGCCAAAAGCACTCAGCCCGCAGGTCTCAGATCAGGCCTCAGCTCAGCCTATTTTTCAGCCATTCTTATCTATTCCAGTTTTATGAACCGAGATGAATATCATCGCGCCAAAAAAATAACCTTCTAGGCATTTAAAAAAAAAAAATATTAAAAAAATTTAAAAAAAAAGAATGTGACAGCTCCAACAACTTAACTTGTCCAGGCTTTATTTTTGCTACCCTTTTTCCCCTGATATTAGCAATTTTTCAAAAAGGAAATGGAAAGAAAAGGGAAAGAAACTCCCATGCTGCGTTTCGGCCTCGTTCGTGATCTCCCGGTGGTAATCATCGCCCAATTGACTGACGCCTTCCGCATCCATCGCATCGGTTGTTACATTAATATTATCACACAGCCGCACCATCATCAGCTGACTGACTTTGCCCTCTCTTCTCACCGCAAAACAACTGTTTGAGATCCACAGATGGGATTTTGCCAGTTTAGTTTCAGATATTTGGTAGATCAGTGATCAGCGGGACAGATGGCAAAATCTTTTTTTTTTTTTTTTTAATTCTTTTTTCCGACTTTTTACATACTATATCTCTCAGGTTTACTCAAATACATACCATACCACCTATTTCTATGTTTTAGTTTAGTTTCATTTCTCCTTTTCTTTTTTTTTTTTCCTTTTTCTCTCGCCTAGCAGACATGGGGGCATCTTATTACAATCTCTCGTGCGTGAGACCGTCGAAAAAAAAAAAAAAAGAAACAATAAACGTCATTTGTAGGAGGGGAGCTGGGTGGTGCAAAAAACACAATGTCATGTCATGCAAACAGCAGAGAGCTGATTTTATATTCATATCCTCTATCGCCATGCAATTCACATACAAATAATAAAGAAAAAATATTGTAATGAATATCCCAAATTTCAAATCGCGTGTGGTGGGAGTAGAAGTTTGTGTGTCATTCAAAAGAGAATTGAGGTCTAGTTAGAAAAGGAATCCTTGAGATGCATTCGAGGTTCGAGGTGATTGTGATGTTGAAAAAAAAAAAAAAAAAAAAAAAAAAAAAAAAAATAAGGGCCACGAATGTTTCTGATTGTTTCTGATAGCCAAAGAATCGCGGAATTGCGCCTGTTGACGATATGATATGTTGATGCGACACACACTGCAAAGACCATACGCAAAATTTTAAAAGGTTAGCTTTGCGGAGTTCATGGCCTGCCTAGTGACGTCATAATACTAACTTTTCCTGGATATTGTTTGTCCAGGCAGCAGAATAAAAGAGCAGCGCCATCAACCACCCAAGCTAAAGTATCTCTGGAAAGTATTCTAGCAAAAATTTCTGCTCGACGAGAAACAATCATCAGCTCTAGTTTTAAACTAGGCTCAACAATGACCACCAACATGGCCTCTTGTCCAGTTGCTTTCCGCGTCGCCCAAGCAGTTGGCTTATCTGGCGCAGCCTGGCTCTCCGGTAAGCAAAGACGTCAATGACGTTTGCTTGATGGATAATGCGGAGAGATGAAATGATCATTATATCAACATCTCATATATACGCATCATATCCAAAAAGGCAAATGCGCCAAAAAAAAGAACCACATGTGTCAAATGCTAATATATCGATCGACCAGGCAACATCGCCGCCTACAGCCTAAACGTCGCACCCTCCCTCCTCACCTCCGCCAAAGAAAGCAACTTACCCCCCTCTACACTTGCAAAACTATGGCGAAACATTTATCACCTAGGCTCAGTACAGAACCCACCCATCGCCCTCACCACTGCCGCCGCATTCTTCTACCTCGCCTGGTCCGTCCGTTCCGGAACCGCCCTTTTCCGCCAGACAGCTGAAAACGCAGCAACGTTATACTGCGCTGCCGCTGTGCTCACTTTATCCATTGTCCCGTTCACCCTAATTGCGATGACGAAGACGAATAGGGCACTGCTGGAGCAGGCGAAGGTGGTCGAGTCGGAGCCGACGGTGGTCAAGGTGGGCGCGAGGGAGGAGACGGAGCAACTTATTTGTCGTTGGATAGGACTTAATGGGGCGCGAAGCTTATTTCCGTTGGCTGGGGTTTTGGTGGGTTTGTATGCCGCCTTATGGTGAGGGGGCCCGGCATTTTTATAGTGCTTCTGTAGGGAACCATCGGGCTGTGGAGATGGTGGGTTTGGGATCCCCTTCGGTGATTGTCATTTTGACATTGACTTTTGGTCATTTTTGTTTTGTTCCTCGGGAATGGCACAAGAAAGCCGGGCTTATTCGAACAATTAGTCTAGATTGTATATTAAACGCGGTAACAAAATTTTGATGTTTGATGCTCTTTTATAATTGTATTAAGAATGAAGATAAATCTTGACTCCAATAAGCAATCAGGCATCCTTCCGCTCGGTAATAATAATATGTAGCAGGTTGTTAAATCGTAGTTTAGCGGCGGACGGTTCGCTCATCACATCAGTGCTATCAATGAGATGATCGCGTCCCCCCACTCCCACCACAACATTCTGCGTTGCATTTGGGTTTATCAAAGAGTATCTATCCGCGAGAGATACGTGGGGGGCTGTGAAATCAAGATGATAGCAAAGGGGGGGAACAAAGGATGGAGAAGAAATAACCAGGCGATTTATTGAGTTTGCATGATTTCTAGCCCGGTTGACAACGTTCAGGAGTGAATGAACCACTTATTTAGCGTAGATGCGGCCATCAAGGCGTTAGAATCTTAACTAGTAGCCAGGCATATGCGTATTTCCTCATGCTACTGTTCCACCTACCTCCTGAGGGTTTGATACCCCAGAATTCAAACGCCGGTGGGCGTCCTGAGCGGTAATGAGGATCTTCATTTGGTGTCGTTTCAGCTCAAGCGGAAGATCCGTCCGAGTCCAATAACGGCAGCTTGTTGGTGGTCAGGCTATGGAGAGCAGCGTCACATCCCAAATTTCGGAACGCCCGGGGCTTTTCGATCGACTGGAAGCCTCAGGACCTCGCGGGGTCAGCTAGTCTAGTCTGGAATATACTCGTTCGTTGCCCGTGTGGGCGTCCTGAGTATAGGAGCGGCTTCAGGATATTTGCATCGCCGCATCAGCATTCTGGTTCGACGCTGGGGGCCCTCTGTTCGTCCCTGGGGAGACAAGAGATAGAAATGGATTCAATTTGCCGAGCGTAGAACAAGGTGCATGTGCAATGAAGGGGAACATCCAACATTTTAGGCCCTGGAAAATAGTCCAAAATAAGCGCTCAAGGAGCGGGGAATTAAAGCGGGAGGCAGCATGATCGGCGGATAAGATGAAGAAAAATGAGTGATGGCGATTGTTCGTCTGAAGGGTTCTAAGGCAATGTTCAGTTCGGATACCTAACTGCGCTCCTATTTTCACTAGTGCTGCAAGTCACTTCAAGATCTTGCAATTGGAGAGTAACTTAGCCTGAGCTGGAACCTTGGAAATATTGGCAACCACTCAGAAATGACATGACATACGCTGCGTACGTGCATATACTCCGCGATCTTTCTTCAGCAGCAACCGGGGAACGGTTCACCAGCTTCTTCTCCTGGAGTCCTGGTACGATCCTGGGACCTGGAAAGCAATGAGCAGCCTTTGTGACTTGTCATTTCTCGTACCCCGACAGCTCCACCGCCCCGGCAGCCAGCCACATTTGGCCTGCGCAGTGGCAAGAGGTTCCTGTACATCTACATGGGTGGGCTGTATAGACTGTATGAGTAAATGATCTACTCTTCAAGCGATGTACTCGGCTACTGCCGCTCCAATATATATCTGCAGAACCGTCTCGTTGCCACACTGCGAGCGAAATTGAGATATCATTTGGAATCATATCCGCGAGTTGGGCCTGAGGCCGACTAGGAGTCCCAAGCCGAAACACACGCGCTAACAACTTGTCGACGACACCTCGAGCATATTTGAGGCGCAAAGGTTATTGGAATTCGGTGCTCGCTGATTCACGCCCTGACCTGACATCAAATTTGGCATGCGGATGGGCCCTGCCCGTTGGTGACTACTCGCATATTTATGCCGCTAGAGTTGCTGCGGGACAAAGTAATAGACCCATTAATATTATTATTGTCTTCTCCCTCACCTCCGACCATTTTGGCGCATTTCCTGAACCACCAGACTATTAGCCCGTTGGGGAGACGTTTGTGCATCATGATGGGCATCTCCCCTCGAGCCGCCGCTCGAGGCTTGCTGATGGGACTATTGATTCGTTCTTACTTGTTAATCCCAGTTTCTGCAGCACCAACCCTGGGCAAGAGGCCTATCCTATCCCCAGGCATTGATTTCTACGAATCCCCAGCATCGGTTTTTTCAGATAACTTCGAGACATGTTGTTTTTCCTCCTTCTCTTTGCGAAACGCCATACTGTGTTTTCCCCTGAATTGGTGTCTCCCTCCCACTAAAGCTCTTCTGTCGTCGCAGGTGTGCTTTTTTTTTGCGTCAGAAATATACGTCGTGCTTCCCACGTCCCATTTAAGCGCTGCCAAATGGGGTGGGGAGGGAGGAGTAAAAGAAGGATAGTCATCCACGGATATGTGTGCGGCACCGCACCGTGCATGTATTAGACACCTCATACTCATATGCACTGCATTTGGATGGCGCACAGCAGTGCCAACAGATGAACCCTGGCGGACTGGGACCTCCCAGAAGATCGTCCCACCCAAAAGGAAAAAAAAAAAAGAAAGAAAAAGCAAAACGAGATCATCGGTCGATTGATCTAAGATCGATTTCATCCCATTATTATTCTGGTTCCAGAACACCAGTGGTACGACCCTGGTCTAAGCAAATGGATACCTGTTTTAATCTTTAATTCTTGTGAGGATTTGGTCGGAACCTGCTGACTTCATGATCACTTCCCTTCCTGACGTCCGGCTACTGGTCGCTGCTGTTGCCAAACTTCTCTGGAGGGTGGATTTGAGGGGTTGAAGCTTTTATATCCGTCAAATCACAGACCAGGAAACTCTAACAATCAGGGCAAGCCCCGACTCAGTCGATTTACTTCCGTATCTGCTAAGGTCTCTTGGCCGATAACAGCAGTTCTTTGTCTTGGTTCTAACCTAAGGAAAAAGCAAAGAAACAGGCGAGCATCAGCCATATCACCCACACTCTGGTCAAGGCTCAAAATAGACTGACAGATTCCAATCTCGCTCGGGAGGACTAGCTTTTCAAAGTTGATCAAGATGGTTTTGTCAAAGTGCCTCTTTCAGCACCGCCTGGAAACTTGTGGATAGGCGTGTTTTCTCTTTTTCTTTTCTTTTTATTCTGATGTTCAGCGAGAACTCCTTCCCCTTTGGCTCTTGCATAACCAATGACAGGCCACATACTTGCCAGTGGTATGGGCACTCCTCATTCGTCCTCACCTCCGTTCCTGTCAGGCATCGGGAACTGGTAACGCTGCAAAAAGCCTCCGCACGTAATGGAATTGTGAGGATTATGTCAATGTGGCTGCAAAAACGGATTCCCCCGAATGATATGTGTTTGTGCATCCATCACGGTAAGATGTGATACTGATCTTTGGCAAATACCTAGCTTGTCACTTCTTGTTATTATTTCATACCTCAATGCCCTGCGAAACCATTTTATACATGCCCGTATACAACCTTTGGCACCACCCTTGAAGGGGGATCACAAATATTGTTTTCTAATAAACTGACTGCTCGATGCATGAAAAGGGAACTAGAGTTGGAGAGGGTTGCCTTATTTTTCGAATAATATTTAGCTGCCTTTCATTTGACGATAAACGCACTGTGGCTGCTGCCAACCATCCCGCCATTCCCACCGAATAGCCTTATTTTGTAGTGGGTATTGAAATATCCTGATCTTGAAAGGGTTGGCTACCTGCAATCCGCAAAAACACCGAAGACAGAACCCCTCCTTAGAAAGGATCATCTTTCGAGAGTACCGATCTTTGAGCCCTTTTTTATACATTCCGTGGGGTAGCTCCGTCCTTCTGCGGCCATTTCCTCACGTTTTGACAGACATTTGCTTGTATACCCTATCCGTACTCGCTGACGTTTCGAAACAGCCAGCCTTGGCCACAGTGTATCTCCCGTCATACGATTTTCTTTTATGTGTTGCATTGCCCTTCTCTTGATTCTACTCTCTCCGCCTGGGACTCTCCTATTGCGCTGCTAGCTCCGACCTGCTCTGCTTGTTCATGAAAGCGTCTTAACCTCCCCGCCCCAGTTCTTCCCTCTGGAGTCACGGATGGAAGGGCGCCAGCGTCGGAAACCGCAACACATATACTTAAGACCGTCCGATATTACTATTTCGGAGCAAATATCGTGCATTTTCTTTGCGACCGCTTGGAACTTCATTCATTGGGCTTGTTCTCGGGCCCAACAACTAGCAAACCGCCACCCACAGAGGTAAGCTCTAAACCAAACGCCCGCGAATGGCTTTCCTTACTGCATTCGGAGTCTCTTGATCTAAAATAATTCATCCTTGATCGTTTTAGAAAAGTATTTAGTATATATATGCGATCAGATTTGGGATTCTTAGCTTCCGAAGGATAATCATGCCGATTTCACCAAGGCAACGAGATGGCCGGAGGAATTCTCGGTCAACGGATGAAGAATATGTCGTATTTCTCCAAGGTGTAAGCTTCATCTGTTCTTATTTCTCAGCCTCACTGTCCATTTCGAGTTTTGGGGGGAAAGAAGTGTTGATTATCTGACCTTTGTGGGATAGATTCCGCCTCAATGTCGATGGCAGGAACTGAAAGATCTTGTTCGCCAAACTGCTTTGCATATACGGCAGGCTGTAGTTTACGATGATAGCCACGGCCATCCAACTGGGCTTGGTCAAATAATAGTTAAAAATGAAGACGAAGCGTGGCGCACTTATAGTAAGTATTGGCCTGTAAATCGCCCATCACAACGGGCTTTTTCTGACAAACCCCAAAAGACAGGCTGTCAACGAACGGATGGAATGGTAATAGTTTGACTGTAACGCTTTCGCTCGCAAGTGCGCCGACCGAACCCATTGCTGGCCCGACCAAGAGTCTACCAGTAAGCCGAATACCATATGCTGGGGGTGGATACTCGAGTCCTCCAAGATGCGCACCGCTTGTCTCCTCCCCGACGAGCACTATGCCCCCTGAGTATGTTTGGTTTTGGAGAGCTAATATCCCTTTGTCCACTTTTTATTAAGAAACATAGAGGCTCACAAACAAGCGCAGGAACTTCCCGGCCCCCCAGCCTTACGCTACCTCATTAGACTATACACACTTCACCACTCCTGTAAACCTACACGCCCAGCATCAGCATCCCCTCGTCCCCCTTGTGACGGACCCGCTAGCCTACCACTTTCCATTAATTTACCCAAGCGATGTTCATTTCCCAATGCAAACGACAATTCTGGGTCAGCAATTCGAACACTCACCAGCTACAATCCACCGATACTCCACATCATTGTGCATCCAGCCCCTTTACGAACTTCATAGTGCCAATATGCCTCGCCTAACTAACAACAATAACAACATTCGCATGTTCCGCGATGATTCAGGTGTGCATTCATGCAGCATTTTCATCCAAAATCTTACTATCGACACCACCTGTCAGAATTTGAAGGACCATCTCCGTACGGCTGGTATCGTGGAGCGATGCGATGTTCGTGAAGATCGTAAAGGGGGAGGTCGCTACCCAAGAGCCTATGCAATTGCTACTTTTCGAACCAAGGAAGAGGCGCGGAGAGCTGTCACCCTACTTGACAATTCGTATTTCAAAGGGTCCAGAATTCGAATTCGATTTGACCGAGATTGTGGAGGAAGCAGGAGTGGTAGTGGTAATTGGGTCGATATCAATGGCCATGGTGCGGTATTTACACCATATCGAATTGCTAGAAACAAAAATTTCAATGAGAATGGAAATGGAAATGGTGGAAGTAGGATGGAAACTGGGACGGCCGTCGGCAACGGGAATGGCGTGAAGGCGGTGACAGCAGCGCCAATATCGACAGATCTGAAGTCACCCACGGACTCGACCGACCTTTCTCCCAGATCTAGTCAAGATGGTTCCCCAAAGAGAAGCGAACCGCTGGTAGTCAATGGGTCAAGGGTTGGATTGAAAGCTGGACGAGCTAGCGGCGAGACGGTTGGCTCTGAAGGTATGTCTTGCCTGCTTCTTATGCTGCCTCCTTTCAATCTATTCCCCGGGATTGAATCCCAACCCTATCCGTCACCCTCGATTCTACATCCGAAAAGTTATTTATCATATGCTAATGCCCATATTTAATCTATCGTTGCACATCCAGCTGACCTTTCCCGGAGAATCCAGGAGATTCGGCTGTAAAACGAGCCAGTTAAATTTATGAGAACAGGCGATGATCGACGTACCCACCACTGCTTTTGTCCTGTGAAGGACATCATCGATGAGAAATACACGAACTCCCTGAGAGAGATCATTCACTCGCTTGCATACGGTTTTAGCAAAACCATCTATTTCTGAAAGAAGGGGGAACACGGGTTGAGGGTGATTCAATCAGCGCAGACAGGGGAGCAGGTCAGTTGGGATGCGAGGAGAAGGTAATCAACTGATCGCGGAATATGGCAAAATTCTAATCTACATTATGAACACGATATGCCCTAGGATGAGATCTACTTGGACGATCTTTCACTCTTATTCATTTATCTTCCATTTAATGAACTCGCTTCGTCTCTAGGATGGAATATAGGGGTTTATTACTTTTTTTGCTTTCTTTTCTTCTTTTCCCATCTTCACTTATCATCTTCTGCTTTTATGATTCATCTATTCCCCCATTTTTTTTCAGTTCTGCAATTCTATTATTTGTTCTATTCTCTGATATCATTTTCCCCTTAGTTTACATCTAAGGATAACAAGCACAAACCCTGAATTTGCCAACCTGCCATAGTCAGCCATAGCAGCGCAAGCCATTCAAAATACCCCAACGCCCATTTCAGAAACCATTTAACCCTCCGTTGTTGTGTTTAGTAGCATAATTTATACATTTAACTTAGGATATCCACAAACCGACTTCCCTGTTTCATCCTCAATTATCCTTCCCCAGTCCCTTTCTCATCATGTTAGAAAAGAATAGAACTGCGGTAAATCTAACCCTTTTTTACTTGTTCCACTAGACAACACTACGGGCATGTCAGTTTTCAGGCCCTTCATTACGTCGCGTTGGCCACACGTCAACATCAATGACATTGTTAGGTCTCCCGCTCTCCTTCATTTCCCAAAGGGGAACCCAAGTTCCACAGGAAAAACTCAGATAAATTTTCCATGTTGTATTGGAATTCAATTGTGTAGCATTAAAAGCATGAAAAATTGCTGTTGCTTCTTGCCACTTCCTCCGAGCGTGTCATCTAGAGAACCTAGACGTCTATTTAAATGCTTTGTGGAGAGATGTAGTGGGAAATAAGAGAAAATAATATGTAAATAAAAATAATAAAGGAAACCATCTTGATCACATGGATTTCTTATTTCAAATGTCAGGTTGTAAAATATAGATATAGATGATGACAGCCCCAATTAAACATAACATTCTCTTTTTCTGAAGAAAGAAAAATAACAACAGAAAATAAAATACAGGAAAAGAAGAATCAAAAGAGCAAATAATGGGAAGGAAACATTGATTTCAAAAGTGCAGACCATAAAAACCTCAAAACGTACATCGTTTATTCTTCTAATACTAGTATGTCTTGTTAACCATAGGCCAATAGCGAAAGCTTTAATATTTCTCTTTTCCCTTCAAAGAAGCCACATTATAAGAAAGAAAATAAAAAAAGTTAAAAGAATAAAATAATGGATACGATTACAAGAAATCAGATGCCCTAGCGCGTCCACCGGATGGTGCTGTTCGCACCGGAGACCGTGGTCGGGATCGGGATCGAGATCTGGACCGGGACCGAGAAACACCAGGCGGAAGCGACCGTTTCCGGCCACCACGACCGCCTCCGCGACTATCACGTCGCGGACGTGCACGTCTTGGTGGAGTCCGCGAGCGGCGAGGGGATCGAGAACGAGAAACGGATGCAGGAGACCGGCTATATCTATGTCTATAGCGCGGGGAGGGAGAAGGGGAGCGTGACGGGGATTTGGACGAGTGTCTATTCCTGCTCCGGCCCCTGTGCGCCCTGGCGCGAGGAGGTGGTGTGGCGGATCGAGAGGGGGATCGTCGCCTATCCTTGTGTGGTTTGCGAGGCAGGGGAATTCGTGAGCGCGACAAGGACGGAGGGCTTCGTCGCTTTCCTCTACTTGAGCGAGGCGGAGGGGACGGGGAGCGTGAGTAGCTTGTCGACCTGTCGCGGCCGCCGTTGGCCCGTCCGCGACGGGGAGGGGTGATTGAACGGGATAGAGAGCGTCTGCTGCCTCCCCTCACAGCGACTGCTTTGCCCTTACCACGCGAATCTGGTCGTCTGAGCGGCGAAGAGCGGCGACGGTCGGGAGAATATGATACAGATCGAGACCTATAGCTGGCGGGAGATGGCGACCGAGAGTATGAAGGTTGTCTACCCCGACGCCTCGGTGGAGGGGTCGGTGAACGGGATGGTGTGTAGCTATGGCTTCTGCTCCTGCTTCTGCTGAAGGTTCTTCCCCTAGATGAGGGAGAGCGAGAGAACGACGCTGACCGTCTTCGGCCACGAGAAGGTGAACGAGAGTGAGAATACGAGCGGGACCTGGAAGAACCAGTATATGACGAATAGCTTGAATATGAGCTGACTGACTCTGAGTCTGATTCTGCTTCTCGCGCCGGTAGCGCCGGAATCGTGGGTTTGGGCAGATTTTTCAAATGCTCGCGCATCCCTTCTGTGAGAACACCCATACCAATACTAGTGAAGTAATTGATTGAGAAGCGAGTGTTTCTCGGATTGTCAGTCGGGAACAAGCCCTCAAAACTAGGTTGAAGTATTTCATCTCTGAAGATTCCCTGAAGTTTCGCCATTCCAAGAACCTCAGCAAGTTCCTGAAAGAGGATTTTAACAAAGATACGGCTGCTAGATGTTGTCTCTTCCTCATTAAGATGAATAATAGACAGTGCGTGCCAGCCAATCGCGTCCGAGCTGAGCATGTGCCCGAAGAATTTTGCAATGTTCCGTAGGCGATTTGTTTCGTAGCGATGGATGGTATCGTAATACTTGATGAAGGCCTCCTCAAACAGGTCGGCCCAAAGACGGTTGAGTTTCGCAAAACGCTCCCCAATCAAACCATAAAACTTGGAATAAGTCCGTTCCTGCGAGCAACATTCAATGATCATGGACGGTAGCTCCGATTCATGTCCTGGTGGCAGAGTGATCTTCATGAGTTTGTGGCAACATTCTTCAAAATCAATACTCGACATAATAGTTAAATAGATCGTCCTTCGGAGGTTAACAAGATCTGTATTGCTCTGGTCCTTAATATCCATTTGTTGGTCCTTATCGTCTTCCTCATTTTCATCGGAGCTCTCATCTGTTTCGTACCCGTCCTCGTCTTCCTCATCGCTACCTTCGCCCAGAATCTCGGCTTTTAGCTTCTTATATGCATTCTCATGTTCCTCCCACTGCGCATCATACTTGAAGATATTTAGGCCATCTTGGACATCGATTTCATCATCCAGACTAACGCGATGGGTAATCTGGTCTTCCTCCTCCACGAGATCGAGCTCTTCCTTGATAGCAGGGTTGTCTTTGTAATGATCCTTGCGGACTTGAAATAACACTTCGATCATATATTGTACGCGCTTATCAATATCTGCCTCGTGGAGGATATTCCTGAACTGGTCAAACACAGCCAGCGCGATAGGCCCGCCCATTTCCTCCAAGTACTGACCAACCTCCCTTGTAAGGCCAACAGCAATCTCCACACTATCATCCGTAGGTTTGTGTAGCAAAAGCAGGAGAATTTGAGCCGCTACCATCTCATGCGCTACCTGCTGATTGCACAAGTGGGCAATAAATGTTGTCGACGAGATGCATACAGCTTTGTCATTTCGCTTGAAGGCCTTGCGGAACTGGACTATGAGTCGGTTTAGCAATAGCTCCCCGACCTGCGGAAGTTTCGTGTTGACAATCGCGGCCATTGCAGCATATATCGGTGTAAACGGCAAACTGGCAGCTTGAGCTTTCATAATACTTCGGCAAAAGAGACCTCTTCCGCGGACGAGATTTTCGCCAAAAAGCTCAGGAACAATAAACTTGATATTTGAGACGTTGACTTTGTTGATCAGACCGTTGATGGATTTCTTCAGGGCCTCCCATGCCATCCGTTGGTATTCCTTGCTGGTCTTGTCGGTGATCTGAGCTTGGAGTGCTCTGAGTTTTGCTGGAGGAATATATGTTCCACCAGAGCGCATATTCAGCAGCTTTTCATATTCTGCCTTCGCAGCAGCTTGCTTCTCTTCTTCAGTTAGAGACTTTGCGGGAGCCTCGCGTTTTCGAAGCCGTTCAGCAAGTTGCTGCTCCCTCTCCATATAACGAGCCGACTCTTCATGTGGCTGGTCAGGCCCATCCCGAGAAGTGCCGTTTGGGGGAGAACGACGTCGGTCAGGTGAAGGGGAGCGGGAGGGTGGTGACCTTTTCCGAGTCCCTGAAGGCTGGGGAGAGTAAGAGGTGCCGGGGGGAGGTGTAGGCAGGCGAACTGCTGACTGCAGCATCACTGGATCTTCCATTTTCGAGCAATAGGTGATATGTTTGTCGTTATGCCCAAGTCATATTCAGGTATTATAATCGCTCGCGTGGCTGAGAGCGATGTTTGCGCAGCGAGGTTGCGAGTTGGTGAACGCCATCCAGCGCGCAGCATAAGGTGGATGATGCTTTTGGTCAAAAAAGGTTTTAGCGCGCCGATTGACTAATCACGTGACATTTAGTTACTCACGACTGACAGCCGGGGAGAATTGACCTTTCTCACCCTTACTACTCTACTCAACAGCTACGGCGGTGGCCGTTTTCTATATCTATACATCATTCCTTCGTCAACCGTTTCCAGGAATTAACCTACCGCGTCTCGTAACTTAATTCCCAGACAGGTGCTACGTTCTACTAGTCGCAGGGATGGTAATTCCTCACCGTCATTTATAAACTTTAGGAATCTTCCTAACCGTTCATACGCAACCAGTTCGGACGACTCATTGGATTAGGCATGCTTTTAGTGGCAACCGCTGTTTACCTTTACTATACGGCATGGACTCTACTCATGGTAAGAAAATTCCAACTGCCCTTCACGACCCGCTGAGGGAGAAAAGGGGGATGAGGCCACGCAGCGAAACCAAAGTCGCAAAACGAAACCACCTACTGATCAACTTTTTTGATTGGCAAATATAGCCCTTTGTTGATGATGGCCACCCCCTCCATGACTTCTTCCCACCACGTGTCTGGGCAATCCGTATCCCCGTTATCCTGACGTTACTCGGCTCCGCGGTCGTGGGCTCATTCCTTGGTGTTGTGATGATTCGAAGTAACCGGAAAAAAGCCGCTAAAGCAGCATCGAAGAAGAAAGCGTGACGCCTCTATCTCCCCTGATATTTTATTTCATACATTTGTTCTTCTTGTCGGGTTTGATACACGCAAGCGGGTATGAGAATTGCACATAAATAAGGCCAGATCGCATACCCTTCGCCGATGGATTCCTGGCATGGTGTTAGAGTAAAACCTGTGATATCGTTATATATGTTAATAATGGGACTTGATTAGAGCGCATCATCCTGCAAAAAGGTTTCGAAAATTGATATATAATATTTGTCAGGACTCAGGGGTTCGACCTTTGAGCGTTGGGCTTGTGCATCGCGAACTATTGGAGATGTTTATATGACGCTTCTGTCTACGACAATACACTGCCAGGTCAGAAGCAACATACCATTTATCCGACCGCCTTACCACCGGAATGGCTATATGTCACCAGGATGGTGTTCCTATGTCGATTATTGGGGCCTAAAGCCACAGACAATATTCACCTAGCCATATCATCTCATTTCAGCACGTGGGATTTACCAATACTTGTGATCAGGGCATCCAGTATCTCGCGGTCACATGATCTAAGTCCCACTCTACACCAGCATAACTTAGGGGATATCCGTACATCAAGTTGATTTTTGAATCTGGTCTTTTTCTAATGAAAAATATGCGTGCTACACCTTTTCTCGGCGATATATAATATGATACCTGATCTTAAACCCAACGGGAAATGGGAACTTGGAGGGCACATAGATGGAAAGAGAAGCCTGACATTTTCCATTTGCCCACTGGCTCCTAACCTGCTCTTGAATTTGACTTTGAGAATCCCGAGAAACAGGGTTTTCTCTGAATACAAGCATAGTATAGACTACAGGGCACGAATCCGAAACCTGATGGGAAGCCCCATCCATTTGGAAACTAGGTCTACCTCCCCTCAGCCTTGCCCGCAGGAGGGACCAGTAATGAATGGCATTGTGTTTTCTATCATTTCACACAATGTTTTACCTGGCAGGTAGATTCTCTCAGTATTCAAAGCCTGTCGAGCAAGTCAAATTGTGAAGAGAACCAAGCACACATACCATGTTCGACCATAAATTGGATTCAAACAAATCTAGGCACTTTGTAATAGGGTACATTCAGTACGCTGCAGAATTGCTTGAATCCCTGAAAGTCTGGAACGGACAAATGACGTAAGGCGCAAGCCAGCCATGTTGCGTTGTTTGCATTGTTTGCCCTATTTAGTCCTGCCAGTCTCACCCTAGATCGGGCCTAGTCTTTCTTGGCACGCACTTTACCTTACCTAGCTATTCTTCCCCATGACATAGTAGTGCGTAGCCAATCACAAGTCGTCCCTTGTCACCTGGGCCGGGCTGGATGTGTCATCGTCCACGGGTATCCGAACTTGCCCCTCTTGACGCTCCTCTCCTGACTCTCGTGTCTACAACACCTATACAACAACTACAACTACAACTCAGCTTTCTACCACAGCAGCTACTTTGATAATAACTTATGGAACTGTCTCGCTGCATCTACCAGCAGCTTGTTCGTGTCTAGTGAACCGTCTTGTCGTTTGTTTGCCTTGAGAAGCAAGCAGCTTGCTCTGGCGCTCCTTTCCTCTATCCATCCGCTCCCCTACCTCCCACTTGGTTCCCCGCTCTCACTTGTTTATATACACCTTAATACCTATAGCTATCCCGTATTCATATTCTGCGATATCTGGCATATCTGGAATATCACTCTGTTATTTATTATTATTAGTCATATCTTCCTTAAGTGTCGTCCTTCCTTGATCGTTTCGTCGTCGCCTCAAATTGACAATTGACCTTCTTGTCCCCTGCCTGAGCTATCTCATTGCAGACGTGAGAACTGCAAAGAGAGTGGTACGCTTATTTATATTACTCTTCACATACCGCTCCAGACTTTCCTGCACAGGTTACGGCCCTTTGGTGGCCACCTCTCATCGACCAGATTTCAGCCGCCTTTTGGATGCCCCCAGCGTCTAACCCCTCGCGCCAGCAAAGTCGGTCCCCGGCGACCAAGTCCCCCTTGTCCCAGCAGCTCACAACTTCAAAACAATCAGGTCTTGGTCGTCAATCTAAGAAAAAGGCAAGAAATGTTGTCGAGCGAGAGGATGGGGCAGTCAAAGCTGAAACGAAAGCGTATCCGGACGATACCCAGTATGTGACCTATTTTCCGCTTCCTTGGAGTTTTTTTTTTTCCTTCCATTTGGAAACACTCATAACTGCGATTCAACATAGAATTTATGTTTCTAATGATGATCATATCCTCCGTGTACTTAGAGCTAGATCCTCCCCAGCTGCTGACCCGGAAGATATCAACCCGCAATCTCATCCTGTTGCCGTACAGCAACATCCAATCCACATCACTTCGCCAGACTTGGATGCTTTGAACTCGTTTGGTGGCCACGTCAATAGCGATTCTGTCCATCGAACTGATTCCTGGGCTAGGTCGATTCCGTTTGGAAAAAGTCCACCCAATGATCTTATGGATGGCCTGAGCCTTGGCGAATCGCCACCAAATTTTGCTGCACTTGGAGAAAAGGGGGGCTTCAGCTATAGCCCTTCACCAGCCTCACCACCGCTAGGGAAGCCTCGGCCCTTGAGCTATGGGAATGGCCACCCGAATTACACGCCAGCGAGATATCGATCAGCGGATAGACAACGTTCCTCGAGTAGTCATCAGAGGAACCAGATTCCTTTGCCTCATTTGCCCCAACCACACTTCTATTCTGCTCCTGACATCGACATACCGCATTTTCCAAATCCGAATATGCGACCTACAGGGGAAGATGGTTACACTTTCTGTGCGTTCGATGCGCTTGCGAATCCATATTCAAAACCAAATAATAAATTTGGCGGAAATGTCATGTTGATTGGCCATGATGGGTATCTGGACATTCTTCACGTGGAGAGCGATAGAGCCAAAGAAGTTGGGAAGCTTGACGGACTGAATGGAAGAGTGCTGGATGCCAAGATCTTGACCTGGGCGTCTGGGATCGATCCTTTCGCATCTTGTCGGCCGCTTGTTGCCATATCGATACATGGTCCTGCACAGACAGCTGACGATGGCGGTGCTTCGTCTTCCGCAGATTCAGATCGGGTCGAAATAGTACCTACAGTACCAAATTCGCGGTCAAAGCGTGAAGAGCCCCCACAGGTGCAGACTCGAGTTCAAGTGTACTCTCTCAAAACGCAGGAGCACATTACAACTCTCTATTCAACGAAACCTGTTCCTTGCTTCGATCACCAGTTCCCTGGCTTACCCGTTTCCGCGTCGTCACCTGTAGGAAACTTGAAAATATATGCCAGTGGAAATTTTGTTGTTATCGCTTCCGGAACGAGTGGCGAGGTTTTCATTTATAGTATAATCCCCCAGTCGTCACGCGGTTCCTTTCAGTGCCTTGGAAAAACGTGGACTAGTATGCAATGGAAAGATGTTCGCAGGTATTCTAGCTCGTCGAACTCGACAAATGACCCGGACGACTTTCAATCCGATACTAGCCGCCCTTCGTCAAATCCAGATACCCCAATCCTATCTCTCAGTGGCCGATGGCTCGCTGTTGTTGCGCCCTCTGCATCGCACCGAGTGTCCCTCCATGGAACCATCCCTTCCCATCTAATCCAGAAGAAAACTTATGGATTAGACAGTCATACACCTCCTTCACGCCCTTCAATTACGTGTGCAGTTGATTCTGGAGAAGGAGAAAGCCTTCTCAATAAGGTTGCAAGGGGAGTTACGCAAGAACTATTCAAGGGTGCTCGATGGATCGGAGATCAAAGCATCCAAACTTGGAATACCTACTGGAACAAAGACGCTCAGCTAACGCAAGCGACTCCTCGCCGCTCTCACCAATTTGATACACAAACGGGATACAATATTCTTCCTCCAACGCATGCTCCTGATACTCAGTCAGGGCTGGTAGGCGAACCTGATCTTGTATCGATCATCGATTTGAAGAGATTAGAGGAAGCGCATGATATAAAATCGGCTTTTCCCGCCCCGATAGCCACGTTCCAACCACCTAATGGATGTAGTTTCCTTTCCTTCGCACCAAACGGCCTCATGCTGCTAACCGCCAGTAAAAAGGGGGATATACAGCATATTTGGGATCTCATGCAGATAAAGCACTGTAGAGCCAGGGCATTTATATCGGATGATCCGACTTCTATCGGAGTGGCCTCCAATCCCCCAGCACTTCATGTACGACAAGTCGCGAGATACGCCCGACTAACTACGTCAAGCATCGTTGACACTATCTGGACCGCTCCCATTGGAGAGCGTTTGGCGATTATCACTAAGAAAGGCACTGTTCATGTCTATGATCTTCCCCGCGTTGCATTCCAATGGCCACCTCTGCGCCGAGTTACACCATCCAAGATGAACCAAAAGGATACTTCCGCTGCTGAAGATCATGAAGAGGCCGCTCCAAGTAATCCATTCTCTGCTGCCATGAAACTTGTTGGTGGCACAACTCAACCTATTCTCGCAGCTGTACGCGGTCGTGCACCGAGTGTCGGAGCAGCTTTTCAAGGAGGTGCAGGGGCATTTGGAATTTCAGCTGCAACGGGGGTTCGTGGTGGTGGTAAGGTTGTCGCTGCTGGTTTGAGTAAGTCAATGGGCGCAGCGACCGGTACCGTTAACACCCTTCGTCGGGTGGGTGAAAACCGTTTGCATCTTTCTGCTTTTTCCAGAGACGCTGCTCGGTCTCGAGTCACCTGGCTTGGCACGGAAGAGGAGCCCTTATTGGGAGTAATTGAGGGCGGCAGGTTTACATCATACAAAATTCGACGGAGTTTTTCGGTGGGAAAGAACAAACAAAGCCATTCTGTTGTTGGAAGTAAATCAGCAGAGATCCGTTTACCCGCTAATGCCCAGTTACCCAGCGGGCCTGAGCAGCCAATGCCCATGCCGACAGAAACCCAAGTTTCTGGATTCTGGTCCATGTCTTCATCTACACTCGTACGACGATCGAGCGGTAAGCTTAAATCTCAACCTCTTTCCCAGGCCGAAATCGAGGCCAATGCTCCATATCAGCCATTCCATACCGACCGCAGAGTGAATCTCATGGTATATCCTCCAGGTTATGAGGAGCAAGATGCCATTCAGTCGCAGCAACAATGGGCTTTTGGGAACGATATTCCCGCGATAAGACTCAATTTGCGCCCAGCCACACGCAGCGACGAAGATGACGAAGATAATACTGGCATCGGACAGAACACAAGTGCTGGTGAGATAGAGAATTTGATCAGTCTCGGAAACGGTGGGGATGACGTTGAGCATGTAGTGATAACAGCCCGACGGAAGAAGCGGGGGACAGCTTACTCCTCCGCCATCAGTGGTGGTGCTGCAGCTGATGAAGATGGCTTCTTTGAAGATGATTGTGATGTTTTGGACTTCGCACGGGATCGAGTGTGATATGAAATATATTGTTGCGGTGTAAATCCGTTCTTTGTTTGCTTGCTTATTGATTTACTCTGCTCTCTTTTCATTAGTTATACATTTTTCTTTCGACACTTGTCGGTAACGATATCAGGACATGGCGCCCACTTTGCTTTTTAAATCATACATTTTCCCTTTGTTTGCTAACTATTCCCCCAATTTTTCTGCATGCGGGAAGGCTAGATTTGATCCTGGTGTTGTGCGGACCTGCTTTCATATTTTTCATGTGGTGGCATCGGCGTTCTTGAGAGAACATACCCCTAGTTTAAGACATGGCCCTCTGGATTTGGCGCATTCGCAATATTTTGGATGCAACGCATGTAGATTTCGCCCTCCGTTCCCCGCCCACCCCTGCACTATGATCTCTAATACTCAGAGCTGCGCGACTAACAGAGCACTCACTATCAACGTGTTTTAGTGATGTTAAGGGTGTGGCTTTTTATTTTCGTTCCTTTTTATTTTATTTTTTTCTTTCCCTTTTCTTTTTTGTTCTTGTGAGATTACCTGTGTGTAGTGAATTTGTATATCTGTGCATATTTATTTCCGGCTTATTTTAGTTGTTGGCACCGCTGTTACAATTTTTTTTTTTTTTTTTTTTCATTGTCGGACAAGTATATTCCCCAACTGAACATTGCTTGATTGGAAGCCATTTTGCTTCATCTAACACTTGAACAGCTCCACATCCAACAAGGACATTGGGTGGTTTTAAATTGCCCCTTTCTCGAGTATCGCGCAGGCCCGCATTTTGCAGAGCCCACGACAATGGGGATTTGGGCAGTGGATGTCTATATGCTCGTGGATCTTCGGTCTATATATATAGCTAGATATAATTATATTGACTTGTGTATCTTCGAGAACATGCTACACTGTATCTGTACAGGGTTGGTCCACTCGATCTAACTACATCCAAGATCAATGATGAACTGAGGTATAGACGTACCTCATAAACAATGTATCTCATGGGTAGATACGTAATTCTGGATCCAGGGAGTAGGCGTTGAATTCCCATGCCACCCAAAATGGGGTAAATTGACATTACATTCCTCGCGTGAAAATGTTCAGTTCCGCCCTTCGTTCTCAGCACACTTTTTCATATATGCAACCTCACCCCATTTCATTCTCGTCAACCCACCACCTCCTAAACTCCCTCAACCTCTCCGTCCTCACCCTCGCCATCTCCCTCCCAGACTCCGTCTTCATCATTCCCTCCAACCTCTCCAATTTCTCTCCAAAATGTTCAATTGCCTCATCTAGCTCCCAGCTCCCTTGCCCCTGGCCCTTAGCACCCAGGGCATCCAGTCTATCCGCATCCTGCACGATAGCTAGCTCCGGATACCCTTCCTCAAAAATGAGCCGGCGGATTAGGTCCGGGTCTTTCATTTCTGTGGAAAAGGAAACGTGAGAGACTACCATTCGTACTCTGGCGGCGAGACAGGGGTCTGCGCCGTTGGAGAGCAGTGCATCATAAACGATGGTTGTTGCGGTGGTGGGGTTGGGAGTAGGGAGATACTTCCTATCCCCGATATCGTGGAGCAGGGCTGCGAGCGTGACGACGGTGTCGTCGTATGTGGTTGTGGATCGGGGAAGATTTTCGCGCTCGGAGGCTAGGAGCTTATGTGCGAGGTGCACGACGCGGTGGACGTGGTGGGGGTTGTGGGAAGGGTCGTGGTTGCGCATGCATTGGATCATGTAAGTGGTCATCCGGGTGATGAGAGTGTCGATGTCGGTGGATCTGGTGGTGTCGGTATCTATATGTTTGTTTGCGATGGATTTGATCGCGTTGGATGGAGGGGAATCCATTGTTTGCTTGCTTGAGGAACGGCGGCTGCGCGTGAGTGGGCGATGATTGAAGGAGGAGTGGTTGGGGTAGACGCGTTTTGATATGAAGCTGTGCCAGCCAAATAGCCGTGTACACGGTAAAATGTTTGGAGTGTGGGTGGTACTGAAAATTTTCAGCATGGTGGTTTGGATGTATTTTAGACGGGTTGCATGAGAGGTTGCAGAGTGCTGTGGAATAACACATTAATTCACCCAATTCATGCAACTGATGCTGTAAATTGTGGGTTTATATAGATTGCAGGTTGGTTTTTCTATACAAAGAAATGTTGATGGGGTGAGGCAGGTGATGATGCACAGGAGGAGGACAACATCATCTTTTAATACTAAATAGTCAATATCATGAATATTGTGTTATATGAATACAGATCTGAGTTTCTTACAGAAATGTATTTAAGCAATTCTGACAATGATTTTCACTTACTCATCAGATGAAAATCTCTTCTCTCTCTTTATTATAGAAAAACCAACTTTTCCATTCAAAAAATGCTGTAATGTGACATCATATGCATCTCAATGCCTGGCTCTGCTCTCTGGCCTGGATGGCTCAGATCAATCTTCAAATCTTCATTCTTTTTTTCATTCTGCTCTTTTCATACATTCTCTACAGTATTTATGTTTCTTATACTCTTCTCTACATTCACTTTTGGTCTCTGTGTTCATGGCATGCGCTGCTGTTCATTTCAAATTATAAGCTAAGAAATATCATCTCTCTCTTTATTATAGAAAAACCAACTTTTCCGTGCAAAATGCACTGTAATGTGACCTCATGTGATGTCATGTGCACCCCTTTGAATTCATGGGATTGAACAGCCGGCTCTGCGGCCTGTACGGCTCTGATTAATCTGATGATGGCGATAGGATAGGGGTGGTAGGGGGTGGAAGGGGGTGGTAGGGGGAGAGGGTGGTAGGGGCGGTAGGGGCGGTAGAGGCGGTGGTGGTGGTAGAGGGGGTAGAGGGTGGAAGTGGTAGAGGGGGCTGCGCAAGCAGCAAAGCGAGCGTAAGCGAGCGTTTGATGCTTGTATTCAATGAGAAAATTGATGATCATCAGCTTTCAAGCTCACTGGATCAAAGCACAAGTTAGACAGCTGATGAGGGTTCTAATGTAAAGCTGGGAGCTGTTTATGAGTGCATGCAGATGCATACAAAGAATTAGATTAAAGGATATCAAATTTCCAGGCCATGCCACAAAGCAGGCCAGAAGCATTACTACCAAGTATACAAATCCAATTTCTGCAAACAAAGAAAAGGGAAAAAAGGAACCAAACCATGACAATTAATTTCTGGCATGGACAGGAGTGATTAATTATTCAAGTTGGCAAATTAATAGACCAACAAGAGAGCACAGTATTTGTCTGCTGAAAGGGGTGGACGGGGAGAGTATTCCCTGTCCTATGCGATTGAATTGTCCGCTATTTCCGGTTAATTGTTAACTTCTTACAACTCGGGAACCCGTCAAGGTCGTGTTGCAGTATTCTTCGCTAAGTTTGACACGTTTACAGAGCCAAGGCAGCCATGAGGATACCGACAATGCCAGCGGCAGAGGATCCGAGTTGGGCGTTAATCGCAGCACCGCCGGCAGATGGGGATGGAGAAGAAGTAGAATCGCCAGTCGGGCTACCAGTGCCAGTTGCTTCTACATTCATTATTAGTATTTTCCACTAGACATTTATGCACATAGCATAGCTGAGGTAGCCGCCAGAAGCTCTATCACCCAACCAAAACTTTAAAGAAATAAATGGAAATGACATACCGCCAGTTTTAGTAGGATTTGGAATGACCGTGGTCCCTTCCAAAAAGAAGGCGTTGATGCACTTGGTCTGGCAATCAGCATAGCTGATAGCGTCGTCGGGAGTTCCACTGCCTTGAGGGCAGTCCATCGCGCATTGGGTGGTCTGGTTGACCATGTTCTCGCTAGGGCAGGGGACTTTGAGGCATTTTGCTCTACAGCAAATATCGTTGCCGCCTGGAGTGGAACAATTAGTACGCGCTCAAGCCAGGAGGTGTGTAGGTATTAAGTGAACATACAATCAGTAGCACACTGGATAGCTTGGGAGAGCGGAGGGGTGGTCTCTTGAGGCAGGGCGCAGACAGAGCCCAGGAGGCCAACAAGGGCAAAGAATGTGAAGACCTTCATGGTGGCTTTTCGGAGAAAAGCGTAGCTGTAAAAGAGGGTAAACAAAATTTAATGAAAACTATCTGTACGTTGGGTATTAGAATAGGCAAAGAATGTGAGAAAAAATAAAATCAGATTTGAAGATAACGAATGACTGTCTGGATTTTGGGAGGAGGAGAGAAAGTGAGTTTCGACTGAAGTTACTCCGTAGTAAGTCCTCCTGTCCTGTCTTATATGATGCAAAGCCAAGCAGGCAAAACTCTGGTCACTGCATTGCATGGCGTGTAAACATATCCAAGCAGTCAGTTCAGGAACAACTTTTGGAGCCAATCGAGGCCTCTGGGGGGTCAGATCCTGGCGTAGGTTTGGTGTCCATACCCCTTTAAAACTAGCTAGTTCCCTGGGAACTTGGAAAGCAAACCAATGGCTTGTCGTGTGGCGTACCGTACATGATCAAATGCACGGGGGGGGAAGAAAACCTGATAGCTCCATTTTATGGACCACCCATTTCGGGACGGCCCAGGCTCGTGTTTTGTGTGTTGGGCGTGAAGAATAATGGTGGCACAAAGTTCTGAGCACTGGCATGAAAGAGGCCCTGGTGGGTGGGCGAAACCGCGAATTCCTTGAATTCCTTGGTGATAGCTATTTAATAGCTTGTTCCTAGACACAAAAAATATATACTCCACAGTCTTTGCGAGAAAGCTCCTCTGTTTTCCGAGGTTTGTGTCGATTTCGCCACTGGATCCATATCGGTTGCTTGCGCTGTCTCAAACATCCCCCCCCCCAACCTAGCAACTGAAAGCCGCTATTTTGTTCCAATAGGCACTTGGCGAATGCTGATCTGATTGGGTCGCTCGCTCAAGAGGAGCCGGGCGCTCCCAAGGGCCAGTGTTTTTTGGTTTTTGGTGGGTCCAGCTGGGACATGTCTCCTCAACTTTCAGCGGGTTTTACAACGGTCTTGCAGCCAAGACATGCAGGCTTGTTCCTCGGCACCATATGTCAAGCATGTCATCATTACTTTCAATTTGTCTCTCCTAAACGAAGGGATATTGGGAGTCCAAGCAGGTGACCAACTTGCAGCTGCCTCCTCGTTAGAAATAGTGTGAAAGTCGTACATCCATACAAATAATAAATAAAAATGAAGGAATACCCGATTCGGACGAGATCAGATCACGATCACGTGGACCCGCGTTACATCCATGGATCAGTCAGTCCCCTCGACGCGCCTGCGTCACCATCAACATCGAAAAGTCGCCCCCCAAGGCAAACTGAACCACTTCGACGATTTGGAACTCGATGAAATGTGGTGTAGATAAACGTGTTCCTGACTACAGACTGTAGTTACTAGGACATTTGGTTGTTTATCCCTGTACTCTTTTGTTTTTCTTGAGTTAGAACATAGTACAATGTACTGTACAGTACATACAATGTCGAGCTGCTCCTATGGTAGCGAATTTAGTGACTTCGATGATCGAGACATCCTCACCGTTGCCGCCTCTGCTAATCTTTCAGCCACCACCTCCGACAGCCCTCCAGCCCGCAAACGAAGACGCTTGAGTCATGTTGGAGCGAGTGACACACGAGAACCGACTTCTTCTTGGGACGAAAATGGTAGTGGAGGGGACGACGGGAGCGGCCATGAATCGGGTCAGAACCTGGGTACCCTACCTTCGCGTCATCGAGCACCGACAGTCAGATACAAGAATGAAGTAAATACAAAGCCAACCGCTTCAAAATACAAAATATATCAACCTAAACGCCCACTTGCCCAAGAACCGACTTTCGTGACCCAGTTGACCCAGCCTCCTTCGAGCCCTTCAATGATTCGTGGGCCTCGGTGGAAAAAGCCTGACCCAGAGGTTCTTGCTGCGAAACCAGTTCCGACCCGCGTGAATGTCGAGAGATGGAATATTATAGAGACGGAGAATAACGACATGGACGAGGATCTGAAAGCTGCCATTGCCGCATCTCTGGATTCGTTTCGAGGGGAAAACAACGGAGACATGGAACCGTCGCCTAATTCCGGCAAACAGAAAAATCCCAGCTCTACCAAGTCTAGTTTTGGGCCTCAGGATATGCTTTTTGATATTGGAGATATCCCTGAAGACGCTTTCGACTCTTCCCTAGATTCATCATCTGATTCGCCTACGAAAGCTCCCGTTTTAATTTCATCCTCCGAACCGTTTCCTTCTCAATCTTCATTCCGCCGACATGGAAGTTCTCAGCAAAAGAACTTACGGCAGATGACTCTCTTTGGTGGACCTTCTCAAACTGGCAAGCCATCATTGTCATCGCAATCTGGGTCCCACAATTGGCCCTTAGCAAACAACAATGAACCTCCAACACATCATAAACTAGATTCTACCGCTGTAAGATCTTGGATATATCCAATAAACTTGGGCAAGAAAAGAGAGTACCAATTTAACATCACCCAGCGTGCTCTTTTTCACAATTTACTTGTTGCACTTCCGACCGGTCTTGGAAAAACTTTCATTGCTGCTACCGTCATGCTAAATTGGTTTCGGTGGACCACAGATGCCCAGATAATTTTCGTTGCTCCAACAAAACCATTGGTCTCCCAGCAAGTTGCCGCATGTTTTGGTATTGCGGGAATACCTCGCTCACAAACTGTTATGCTCACTGGCAGTACGGTGCCAGCAATCCGTGCTGAAGAATGGCAGAGCAAACGGGTCTTCTTCATGACGCCTCAGACTCTTGTTAACGACCTCAAAAGTGGACATGCTGATCCAAAGCGAATAGTACTGCTTGTTGTTGACGAGGCCCATCGTGCCACCGGTAGCTATGCCTATGTTGAAGCGGTGAAACTTTTACAAAAATACAACACCAGCTTTAGGGTCCTCGCGTTAACAGCAACTCCTGGGTCAACAGTGGAAGCTGTACAAGGAGTTATTGATGGTTTGAATATATCTAGAGTTGAAATACGAACAGAGGAGTCTCTCGACATCAGTGAATACGTTCACTCGCGAAATGTTGAAATAAAGACGTTTGAAAACTCCGACGAAATGGTCATGTGCATGGACTTGTTCGGAAAGTCCTTGCAGCCCGTTTTGGATAAACTTCGCGCCCAGAATGCGTACTGGGCCAAGGACCCAATGACTCTCACGCCATACGGACTTAGGGTTGCCAGCCAGGAGTGGATGAATTCACCCGCTGGGAGAAATGCAAACTACTCATTCAAGGGCATGATACTCAATATATTTTCGGTGCTTTCGAGTTTAGCCCATGCAATAGACCTTCTGAAATTTCATGGGATCGGGCCGTTTTACCGCAATCTCGTTGCATTCCAGAGCTCCTTGAGTGATGGAGGCGGTGGTAAATACCGCCGTCAAGTCGCAGATAATGAGAATTTCAAGACCCTGATGAATCGACTGAGGACGTGGACCAATAATGAAGATTTTATTGGACACCCAAAATTGCAATACCTAAAGCAGGTTGTGCTTAACCATTTTATGGATGCCGAGGTTAATGGCGACACTCCTTCTGCAAATAGACGCCCGTCAAATACGCGAATAATGGTATTTGCTCATTTTCGTGACAGTGCAGAAGAGATCGTGAGGGTGTTGGCGAGACACGGGCCCATGATCCGTCCACATGTGTTTGTTGGTCAAGCCGCTGCAAAAGGATCAGAAGGGATGGACCAAAAGACCCAACTCGATATCATCGAGAAATTTAAAAAGGGGACATACAACACAATTGTCGCTACCTCCATCGGTGAGGAAGGCCTTGACATTGGGGAGGTTGACCTTATAGTGTGTTACGACTCTTCCGCCTCGCCCATCAGAATGTTACAAAGGATGGGTCGAACCGGAAGGAAAAGAAGAGGGAATATTGTCCTTCTTTTGATGAAAGGCAAGGAAGAGGATTCGTTCACAAAAGCAAAGGATAATTACGAAAAAATGCAGCGGATGATTGCTAGCGGAACTCGTTTCACATTCCACGATGATAAGTCACCACGAATACTTCCACGAGAAATACAACCTTCAGTGGACGAAAGACAAATAGACATCCCAGCTGAAAATTCCCAGGCGGATCTACCCGAACCGGCCAAGCGTGCGAGAGTTCCTAAACGACCCCCCAAGAAATTCCACATGCCTGATGGTGTTGAAACTGGATTCACCAAGGTATCTCGCATCAAGGGTACGAATGCGGGCCGTAAAGCTACAAATGAACTTCCCCGCACACCACCGCCCAGAGTTGTCGAAACGCTTGGTATCCCACAATTGGATGAAGTTCTCCTTTCCAAGGACGAGCAGAGAGAGCTAGAGCAAAGATATTGCAATATCGGAGCTACCTCTCCGCAGTTTGTTTGTCGACCACGAATCGACGCCTATCCAGAGCTGCAAAGGTCTTACCGCCCAATAAAATTTGTGAAGCACGGGACTGTCACCCGCCGGCTGGTTAAGGCTTGCCGGAACATGAATGCTTTAACAATTGACTGCGAGAACCATTTTAGAGATCATCTACACCCCGATGACTTATTACCTGAGCGTCATGAAGCTCCAGCCTCCAAAGGCACGAGAAGAACGAGACATTCTGCTCCAAAAGTTAGCGAAGAGCGTCCCGACTCACCCGAATTTGGGCGACAGTTACGTCGCTCCAACAATACATCTCATCCTTTTTCTCCGTTGATGTGTTCTTCATTCTCGCCGAAGCGTCCGGAGAGGAACTCGTTTCCCAATTCCCAAGGCAGTGCAGGAGATGATCTTGAGCTTCCAGACGTCGAAACGCTCTTCAACCAGCTGACTAGGAAGCGGATGTCCGAACAGGAGCAACAAAGTCCATCAAGGGGAGCACGAAGGAAACGCCTTATAGTTTGCCATGACAGCGATGATTTTGATATTTAGAATTACAATTGTCTATGATTTGGCCGGAAGGATGTTGCCTTGGGGCGTGATCGATACAACACTATCCTGTATTTTTAGGGTATTGGACAGGCCTTATTCAGCTGGCGTTTGTATATAGATACTGTGGTAGTAGATGCGCAGTAGTATATATTACATAGAGATATCCAATTGACTAAATTTTGTGCATTAAATTGGTAGGAACTAAAGCTTGTAGATTGTCATTTTTTTAGCCTGCATTCGTCATTGCCACGCCCAGATTTTTGCCCCACGCACTTAAATAACTTCCGTCGATCATCATCGAAGCCTCCGCGATTGCACCCACCACTCGAACAGATAGATCTCGTCCCCGTATCTGCCATCACCACTATACAACTCCTACAATCATGGCAGATACACAGTTTGACAGTGCCCTGTAAGCATTGGACCCGTAAATCCTGCCACCTTTCCCCATCATCTATCTCCACTCCTTAAACCCAACCCACCCCGCGTTTCTAACCGTCACCAGTGACCTCCTCCGCCGCCTCTCACCGCGCGACACCAAACAAAACCTCCAATACATCACCACTCTCGTCCCCGATCTAACCGAAGACCTCCTTGCCTCCGTCGACCAACCGCTGGAAATCCGCCGATGCGCCCAAACAAAGCGTGATTACCTCCTCTGCGACTACAACAGGGACGGCGACAGCTACCGCAGCCCGTGGAGCAATGAGTTCGACCCGCCGATTGAAGATGGGACTGTACCTAGCGAGCGAGTGCGGAAGTTAGAGGTAGCAGCCAATGAAGCCTTCGACGTCTACCGGGAGCTGTATTATGAGGGCGGGGTCGGGAGTGTGTATTTTTGGGATTTGGATGATGGGTTTGCTGGTGTTGTTTTGTTGAAGAAAGGTGCGGGATTTACTTTATTTTATTTGTTTGCTTTTCTACCATTGGCGAGATCTCATATTACTCTATATAACTTCGTGGTATTCTTGTTTATTTCTCTGTCCTTGTTGGGGACAATGCAGCGGTGGATATTCCCCTCTCGCAAAACACAGCCATCTTTCACCTCTATCCTGAACGACTGGCTGACCGTTTCCTCCAGCAATTACTCCTGGCTCCAAAAACTCTGGTGCCTGGGATAGTATCCACGTCTTTGAAGCCACAGACCGCGCGCGGACATGCCACTATAAACTAACGAGCACCGTCATCCTGCATTTATCAACCGGTTCAGAAGGATTGGGTGAGATGGACCTCAGTGGAAATATGACGAGACAGATCGAGGCAGACATGGCCGTCGATGGAGACGCTAGTCATGTTGCGAATGTCGGGCGGTTGGTTGAGGATATGGAGTTGAAGATGCGGAATCTTCTTCGTATGCACACCTTTTTGCTTAAATTTACACCAACCGTAACCGTTTTATGATATAAAACGCATCTTCTTACTAATATTGGAATCTATCTGCAGAGGAGGTCTACTTTGGGAAAGCGAAGGATATCGTTTCCGACTTGAGAAGTGAGTGCTAGACTACTTTTGGCTCCTCCCGGCAACATTGCTGCTCGGTTTGATTTTATTCCTTCTGCTAATATAATGATTTTCCTTTTGCATAGGTATCCAACCCCTTTCCGAGACAAATAGAGATCAAGCTACCCATCGGGAGATGATCAATTCAATGAAGAGGTAGCATTAGTTACGGCCTTTGTTCGTCTTATAGAAAGTACCAACCGCGCAAATTCAGATGGGTTGCATTTTGCAGCAGTATTAACTTATCGTTTCTGGTTTTGGCGATAACGCGAGCGGCCCATGTATTTTCGTTCGTCCTTTATCTTGTTTCTATCTCCTTTATGTATTCTCGGATGAGTGATAAGATATTTATGACTCTCCGAATGTAAAGAATCCAAATTATCTTCTCCATTGCTATTAATACCAGAGTCAGGGGATCTAACTAAAGATAAATCGGCACCTGGGGAAAGCTGCAAGTCAGAGAGCCCGTCCAGTTTGTCAAAATACATTACCGCGTGAGTCGTGCTAGCACGGTTTATATAGACAAGACACTGCAGCTCTCTTCAATCAAGTACACGAGCGCCCCAACTGTGCATAGCATCTCTTCCCAATTCCCTCGCATTGTGTAAGGATCCTATCCCGTTGAACAGCGCATACGGCTCCGTAATTTAGAAAGCAAAGGCGCTATTCGTCTGTCCTCTATCTGCAATATAAATCCCATGGCATCTTAGCGGATAACAGGGTTGTTCCAGTCCTAGAAGCATATCTGCTTTATCGTCACATGCGGTCGGGTCACACAGGAGTTTCCCAAAGAGCTATCCCTCAATTCCAATGGTGTAATGCCTTTACAAGAGTGGGCGTTATTTGTGCTGACAACCTTCGGGGGCGGTTTCCGCTATATACCAGCCAGTAGAAAATGCATGAACGTCACTAGCATGGTTAATTGCGGCGCGCATGGGAAGTCTTGGCTTCAACTTGACATTCGAATATCGGTATGTCGTACCGTGCAATATATGGAAATATTCATGAAACAGCGGGAATCGATTGACCACGCTATATTTTCGTAGCGTTGCAGGTGGAGGAGGTTGATTGTATTTCACCCCAATGTCGCGCTGACGGAGACAGTGCATGCAACCCGGCCCCGAATCAACTTCAATCAGCTTCCATATTTCTTTCGAAAGCCCCTTTCCTATCCAATACGCCAGATTCGTTCCTGTAAGAACCTTTGTCTTTATCTAGCTGAGTAGCAAGCCTACTAGCCTCCGCCCACAACTCCGCCTCCTTATCCTTTCCGACAGTATCCTTCCGGCTATTAAGCCAGCTAGAATCGAGAGGGTTAACTCCTCCTGACGAAGCAGCAGCAGCAATTGTTGTTGTTGTAGTACCCCCGCCTGCAGTCTCAGCAGATTCAGGCTTGATTATAGACGCTTCTTCCAGAGCATACACCTGCCGTCGGAGATGCACATCGATCGAGGAGAGGAGAGCGAAGTATTGCGAGCTTGCAGCTCTGAAAGCTGCTTGATGCGATTCTAGGGTCCCATCGATTTTGGGAATATCACTGGACTGCTGTCCTAGTGCTATGGAAGAAGAATTGGTAGTGAGCGACCTGATCGCAACGCCCGCGGCGTTGAGGAGTTTTGTTACATCCTGCGAACCTACTGTCAGGGAAACAGGTCAGAGTTCACGGAGGATATAGGGAGGACAAACCTTGTCGATATCATTGAGTTGACGGATTCGATCAGCAGGGCTAAAGACATCGCCGGGTTCTTGTGAATGCATGGTTTCTCACTCAACAATTGAGGAAGTGTCGATATAGAGCTGCTGTACGGAGTATGATGTTGTTAGAGCTTAAGAGCGCGGCTAACTCACTAGAGTGAGTGCGCTTGGCAACGGTTACTTAACAAACAACCACTTTTTGGATCACTTTATGTACCTCTGCACTAATTTTGTGGAAGGTGTAAAGCTTGTGTGATTGAAAGGTTGCTAGCTTGTGGAAAGTTATATGGTGGAAGGATTAGTAAGCCAGATCACATGACCTGACACCCCCACTCACCAGAGTAACTATACACGATGCTATATACAAAATTCACCTTCAAATCAAGTACAGATACAAAAAATGACTGGAAAAAGTGAAGTAATGAAAAATCAGTCATGATATACATCATTTTTTATCCCTCTATCTCTCTATCTTCTTTATATTCTCTTTTCAACGTGTATATTTCAACATTTTAAGTGATTTAGTGTGATTCAAAGGTTGCCTTTCTGCCAGCGTACGATTACAGGCGTACACTGGCTTCTTATATATTGTAATATCGTACACTAAATTAATTAGTGGCCGCTATGGCCCCTCTTTACATTCATATGCTAGTTTGGAAGCGGCCGCGTTATTATCCAACAGTCATACATTCTTCTGAACCACATTCTCCCTCACCAGATTTGGTCACACTCACATGACCATGTCATACACTCTAGCTTCATGCAGATTAGCTTGCCACTAGCATTTCACAATTATGTGACCTATCCCTGATTCAGCTAGTATTCTGTGTACACTCTCACAAGGAAACTTTCACTATATTACATCACTCATTCACTAACTTTTCTCATTCTTCAATTATCTTCTTCATTATCATCATCATTGAACATCACTATCTTATTCAAGATTTCTATCTCTTCTTCTGTTCAACTCTTTCTATCTGTTTATCTATCACATTATATACATTTCTGACAATGATTCCCTGTTCTCACAACAAGTATTATCATAGTACTCATATCAGACAGTTTATTAGTAGTAAGTATAATATATTATGAAATATGATCAGAACTTGTTTATCTTCTAATAATTATCAGAATGTATTATCATGAATGATACATCTTCTTCATCTTCTTATATACTCTTGACTGTTTTCATTTCCTTCTCAGCAGATTTCTGATTGTGTTTTCTAACACAATTTTACATGAACACAGATGCTGATGTTTGTTTTTATTTGTATAGAATTTTCATATGTTAACAGATTCATATTCATCAATGATAGTGAATCTGATGTTAAATCATTGATTAAGAACTTGAAGAATGTGATAATGAAGAAATTATTTATATTATATATAACTGAGTCTTCTATATTTCTCTCTGCTCTCTCTATTTCTTTCTCTATCATTCTCTCTCAATCTTCTACATCTGTCTCTGTGTCTGATTCTCTCACTTCTGCTACTTCTGTTCTCACATTCCCTGGTTTTATCATCTCTGCTTTTATTATCAGCTCTTCTCATTTTAAGAAGATGTTGTATAGACTTAATAAACTACATCTCTCAGTATATACACTCTCACTCTTCTTACTGACTCTCAGAATGATTTATTATATAAAGACTGTGTATAATATAACTATCTAAAGCTCAGTCATGAATACTGATTATTATATTTATTTTAAATATTTGTAATAAGACAATCATTTATTTATATCAGAGAATCATCTCTCTTCTTAACAGTGTTAAAATTGTAAGTCTTTTTCTTTTTCATCTTTTCTTTCTGATACTGATTTTTCTGTTCTTAGAAAAAATTGTTATGAGTTTTGCTGTGTACAAAGTCATGACATTCATAGATATCAAGAAGCTTTTCATAACTGTAAAGTTTAATATTGTGAGAATATTCACTCTGATAAATTTCTTCAGAATGATAAATCTGTATCAGTCTATTCTCTGATATCTGTCATCTGACTTTATAATGCAGATAAAAGATATTCATGTTTTCAGAAACAGAAACATAGATGTTATACTCTTTTATACCTGTGAGTGTGAGACTTGTACATCTTATCTGAGATATTATTGTAAGAATAAGCTGTTCACACACTGTGTTCTACTTTCTGCATTTCTTTATGTCTCTCTCTCTCTTTCTGAGAAGCCTTGTGTGTGTTGTAATTATATGTATAACTCTAAGACTAGTGAGTGTTCATTCAGTAACTGTTCTCATTTCTGATTTTTTAATTTTCATACACTAACAATGATTCTTAGTTGCTCTGACATCAGAGATTATTCTAATTGAAGATGATAACATTACAAAGACTACTCTCTCTTATCTCTAAGCTTCTCTCATTACTTTCTCTTTCTTCTCTGCAGGGAAGATTATGTGCATACTGAGTTATAAGCATTCAGTCTTAGATAACTCTTATCATTATTTGTCTGATTCTGTATCTTCTTCTTCTTCTGTTTCTTCTGTCTCTGCTCTCTCTGTTCTGACTTCTGATTCTGCAGGTTCTGTACTCTTCTTCAATTTTTCTACATATACATATACACATTTCTATATTGGCATTTCAGTTAATCTTGCAATAAATGACATTAATGTTATACACAGAGTGATAGAGAAATCAGAGACATACACAGTGTTGTTATAAGAGTGACTTACAGCTCTTGAATCTCTTACAGATCTTGAGTTTTGAGATTTTCTTTATTTTTAACATTTTTCAGATGATGTGACATTGAAAATAGATTAAACATGTGATGTATGAAAATGAATAAGACATGTATAATAATATTTGTCTTTTACAGCTGATTCTTATAGTTGATAATCAATTCATCATTTCTTTTCTTACACTTTTTCTTTATCTGCTAGTCACTACTCTTATATGACCTCTATATAATACAGTATTCAGTGACTAGATTCAGCAGCTTTCATCTTTTATAATTCTGTCTTATATATTATACTGTCTCTCTTTACTCACTCAGATCACTACAGTAAACAGCTCATCAAAACTAATCTCATCTGATCTCTGAGTATTCTCAGAAATTGAGATAACTTAATCTCACATATCTGTGAATATTTCAGATAGTTCATTCTCTGTGATCTCTGCAATTGAACTGATGTAAACAGTCAAATTCAACTCTGAATTTCTTTTTCTTCTGCAATCTGATTTATGTGTAAGTCTGTCACTCTGAGACTGCTCTTTACTGTGTTGCACTCACTGTCTGCAGCATATTATCATATAACTGACTACAGTCTCATTACTTATTGAAGTGTGATGTTTATCTGATTTCTTTATTTCTTCTCACTCTTTTCTTATAATTGTGAAAAGATCAGAATAAGTGAGATTATCTGATTTATAAGTGTCTATGATTTCTCTTACTTTGTGAGACTTCTTAATTATAAGTCTCTTCTTTTTCAACACTGATAATAGTGCTGTGAATAATCATAATCTGCTCAGATCTTGCATCTTTACTTTTATAAGTCATGAATCATTGATTAAGTTGTGTAAGATTCATTCCTCTGATTCTTTCAATGCATACATTCTCAGAGAATGTGATTTGAGTATTTTATATGACTCAAATCATCTAGGTTGAAACTTCTCAGAACTCTCATTATATATAAGAACTTATATTCTCATCTTAAGACTTGATTTCTTAACTAGTGAGTCTTGTATTCTTTTTGATTGAATTGCTCAGTTCAGAAGTAACTTATTAACTTTTGCATATGTGTGACTGATCTCTTTCAATCTTTATTCTGTGTCTATGACTGTTGTGTCTGCAACTGCTACTGCTGCATCTGTAACTGTTATTCCTGCTGCATCTGTAACTGCTATTTCTGCTATATCTGTAACTGCTTTCTTTCTCACCTTTTCTG